AGCTACTGACGATTGACCCCAGCTGGGATCTGGCCCATTGACTCCAATGGAGCGATGGCCAATTGACACTGGCTGGCTCCGTCCTCAGCTCAGCAATGACAGATCCCAGACAGCAGCAGGGCAACCCGCCCCTGCCCTCGCTCCCAGCCATGTGCCCCATGGAACCCCTGTCACGGCTGCCTGCTCTGGGGCTGGGGTTTGTCGCCTGCTGTCTCGGCCTTTGCTGAGGACTCCGCCCCCCCCCCGAGCTGGTTTTGCCCAGACAGAGAGGTGGGTTTTCAGCTGCAGGGCTGGGCTCTGAGAGCGCAAGGAGGGTGGCTCTGTGCTTTGGTGCCATCCCCATGGCTCTGGCCACAACACAGCCGGGCACGTCCCTGCGTGGGGTGCCCTGATCAGGGCTTCAGTCCCCACCCCCGCCCTGGCCTTTTGTGTCCCCCACATCCCTCCGCCCACACACATCTGCTGGAAACCCAGGGCACCAGTGCCCCTTGGGACAGAGCAGAGAGGAGCCATGCTCCAAGCTCACTCATCAGCCCCCCCTACAGGTGCCCAGAGGGAGGGGCAGCCTGGTGGTTAAAGCACAGACCAGGGAGGCAGAACTCCTTGGCTTCTCTCCCCAGCTTCGGGAGAGGAGTAAGCGTGGGGTCCAATGCTAGGAGCAAGGAGGGCTGGGAGCTGGGACTCCTGGGCTCTCTCCCCAGCTCTGAGAGGGGCGGGGGGGGGGGTCTAGTGGTAAGAGCAGGGGGCTGGGAGCCAGGACTCCTGGGTTCTTTCCCGGTTCTGCCACCGACTCCCCATGTGACGGTACCAAGTCACTTCCCTTCTCTGGGCAGGGGCGGGCGGAAGTCATCGCTGATGCTTGCGTGCGTTGGGGAGGCTCAGGGTGGCAGTTAGAAGCAATGGGCAGTGGTGGGCTGGGATAGCTGGTTCCAGTCTCACCTGGGAAGTGGGGGCGTGTCTGGCACGGCCGCCCCCCAGGCTGGAACAAGGAGAGCATGGGCTCCCGAGGGGTGTCACAGGGAACATGGGGGGCAAGGACTCGAGCGAAGGGTACAGGGCCCTGCCCATTGCTGCTGTCAACATGTGCCAGAGCCCAGCAGGGTAGCTCAGCCTGCAGCCATGCTCTCTCCCTGGGGGCACTGCCCGGTCTAAGCCAGCACCCCAGGGGTCTGGAACGGCACCATGCCCAATCCCCCTGGAGCACGACTGCCAGGGGATCACGTGTCTCTGTCCAGTTACATGTGCAGCCGTGCCAGCCCCCTGGGGTGGGCGGGGGGCAAATACGCCCTTTAGTGCCCGGTGGTGCTGGGGGATCCTTCCCAGCCAGGGCAGCCGGGGTCTTGATTTGGGGATGCTGGCAGAGGGAATCCAGAGAAGGCAGCAGCTCAGCGGGTGGGAAAAGCGGGGTCCTGCTCCCCCACCCTCCATTCCCAGGGGACGGGGGCTTCTGATTAGCAGGAGGGGGGTGGGGAGAGACACCCTCTTGGATGGCAGGCCCATTCCCTCCCGCCTTTGCTCATCCTCATGACTACAATCCCGATTGAGCCCCCTTCTGACACCCCCCCCCACCATTGTTTTTCCATCCAGCATGCAGGGCGGCTCCATCAGCACCTCCCCTCCCCATCTCTGCTGTCTGTGAGCCATTCCCGCCCCCCCCCCCCCACGGCGCCAGCGGGCCGCGCCAATACTCACCCTCACCTCGTTTGGGTGCTTATGTCAGACCTGCAAAGCGGGGCGAGGGGGGAATCTCTGACCTGCTCCGCAGTCCCCTGGGGGCTGGCACCCCAGCTGGGGTCTCGATGCCACTGGTGGATTCCATTGCAGTGCAGAATTGAGCCCAGCCGGGGCTGTGCCGCCCCCTGCAGGGCAGAAGGGGAAGACACCCACAATGGGGTCAGTAAAGTGGCCGTGGGGGACATGGGTTATAAAGTCACCAGGCCAACCTGTGACTGGAGGGACCCATGGGGCAGGGGTCGGTTTGGAGGTGGAGGTGGGGTGCGGGTGGGTATTTGGGGTAGGATTGAGACTCAGGCACCATCAGGCCAACGGGCCCAGGGCTGGATCCCCGAGCAGTGGAGGGCCACGAGCCAACTGTGCTGGCAGGTGAGTGAAAAGACGCGTCCAGGGCCCTGTAGCGCCAAAGCACACGCCCAGCTTCAGCACCACGGGAGTGCAGCTGCCACCGGGGGGCAGCCCAGGACGAGCAACAAGGCCGGAATTTGCCCTAAGACACCATAAGGAGCCCCTGGGTTTTACGGATGGTGACATTGGAAGTGTCCGGCTCTGCCCCAAAAGGCAGCGCTGGGCCAGAGGGCACTGGGGGGGTTCTTGGCACCCCCTTCAGCTATGAGCCTGGCACTCCTGTGCCAGGCTGCGCAGCAACAGGGAAGGGAGCAAGAGACACAGACCCTGCTAAACAGAGCAACCCAGGCCTTCATCTGGGGTAAACTGACTCCACTGACTCCAATGGAGCTATGGCCCATTGACCCCAGCTGGGATCTGGCCCATTGACACCAGCTGGGATCTGGCCCATTGACTCCAATGGAGCTACGGCTGATTGACACCAGCTGGGATCTGGCCCATTGACTCCAATGGCGCCACAGCCCATTGACCCCAGCTGGGATCTGGCCCATTGACTCCAATGGAGCG